TAAAATAACCATTTTATTTTTATTTGTATGTGGAGTGACAGGGGCCATGAGGGTCTTGGCCATTAAACATACATAAAACAGTAAATTCCTGGGAGAAGTGAGTAAAAACAGTTATGGTGCAAAGAACATTTCAAATAAAATTGAAGAACTAATAATTAAGTACCCCTAAGATGATAAAAACAAAGTCTGATTGTGTAAGAGGCCAAAGGATGAACCATTAAGGATAACTTGTGACATTAGTACAGCATTTATGTTGTTTTTCTTGCATAACAACCTTGACAACAAAGGAATAAATCGATCTGATCTCTTCAACATGCATTAGGCGAGTGTTTTATAGCATGACATAACTTGTAGCCCGCACTCATGCATTTGATTGTTTATTGTCCCTTGAACTTTTTTATTTGGATTACAGATGGTTTAAGGGCTGCAACCTTATCAAAAAGAAAAGGAGGTAGAGAGAGAGCTTTAATGAGTTCCCTCTCTTTATCCAGGGTAGATGTAAAGTCTATGATATTATTGAAAACAAGGAGAAAAAGATTACAGGAATGGAGACAACAGCTTGTGAACTTGACATGAAAGGGATAAAAATAAACTTTTCAGTGATGTAACAAGGCAGGATTTATAGAAATGCTGCTTACAAGTAGGTTTGCAAAAAATGATCAGTATAAAACATTGGTCAAAGATTAAGAATAGCTCAGCTCAGCTGTCACTTATATCCTCTGTAAAACTTAAGTACACCAAAAAGTATCTCATTAATAACTAGACAGAATAACTCAATTTTGCTTCATTTAGATAATGTATATTGGTCTAGACTACACTATGTAGACCATACTGTAAATTACTGATGGCCTTATGAATCAATCAATGAACCTATAAAAAACTGTAATTAAAATTAGTATCAAGAATAGATAAGCACATTAGCAATATTTATGTCATTCATACTGTATGTACTTTATTTAGCATTTTGCCTACATGCCTACAATTAAACAGTTCAATTCATTGAGGTGTGCTGGACCAAGCATGAATATAGTTGCAGGATACCGACACTTGTCCATCCCTGGTTTATGAGGTTTTGTTTCTAAAAGTCAGAATACTCTAAAACCTTGGACTGCATTTCCATTTTGTGTAATTTCTTTACCAAATGGATTTTATTGTAACTTGTTTCTGGCTGCTTAATCCAGAGCAGTATTTTCGTGTTTTTGTCTTTTTGCATTTGCAAAGACCAAACTAATGCATAATATCATGGCTAAGAACAGAAGGAACCAGTATTTGAGGCAAGACAGAAAGTGAGATTATTCAAACAGCATTTATTTAAAACGGAATCCACGGATCCGCACTAGCAGTGGCTAAGGCTTCTAAGGCAGGAACCTCTACAGGAGAGAAACACGGGCTAGTGACAACAATATTCGAGAATGATTATGAGTCACTAACCTGGTTTTATAGTTCAGTTTGTTCCCAGAGAACAAGGTTGATTCCAGCCATAAGGCTGCCAACAAGATACGGCGGGCGCTGCCCGAGTGTCCCAGATGCTGCAGCTGCAGAGAATGGAGAACAAGCAGTAATCCGAATCCAGGTCAGGCGAACAGATCAGAACAGGGATAGGCAGGCTCAGAGGTTGAGAGGCTGAACAGGATGAGGTAATCAGAAACACTAAGGTAATGCTAAAACGCTCTCACCACTGGCGCGTGAGAATAATATGGGCCTGATGACTGGGTGCAAGCAGTTTAAATAGAGGCAGGAGCAGGTGGATCAGATGAATAGAATTGAGAAAACGGGCAGAGTTCGCCAGGTGAATGAAATTAATAATAAAGCCAGTCATCAGCGCCAAGATCATGACATATAAACAGTATTTTTCTGATTAAAATTGACTTCATTATTCAGAAAACTCTTTATAGTTATAATAGTCCAGATAAGATTTACCCTGAATGAAAAGAGATATGTATCATAGTAAAATGTTTTATATAATAATTTTTAATAGCTTCCTACGCAATTTTG